TGCCGCAATGCCAGATTTTTCCCGTTGTCACTTTCCAAATTGACAAATGGATGGACCCATAGAGTTAACCGAATTTTCCACTGTCTCAATTGATTGCACATACTTTCGACATCCGGGAATTTGGCCTTATTAAACTAGAATGCAACAAGCAATATAAGCATGAAAAAACTAAACTACACAAACATTAAGAAATGTTAAGTATTTTGATTCCAAATTCCTTAAAGTTTCAAATTTAAAAAGTTAAAATTTCAAAAAAATTTCAAAAGATCAAATTAAACTAAATATGAATGAATAAAAATTTGAAATAAAAAAAATATACTTCAAAATCGCCATAATATGTAGCCCAATTGTCATCTAATTCAAGCTGGCAAATCGGTGCATGGTGATTTAAAATTTCTTGAGCAAATTCAAGCACATCATGTTGAGTTACATTCTCAGAGTATCTTCAATTACAATATAAAAACAAAAGACATCAATTTGTCAAAGGGCTGACGTCGGAGCCAGGAAATATGGATAGCTTTTAGACAAACGAAAATCGATTGTTGGACAAATAAAGTAATTTACAATAACATTAACATACGGTCTATTGTCGTATGTTAACGTTATCGTAAACTGATTATATATAAAAAGATATATAAACATTTGTTACCTTGCCCAGGTTGACCAAATAGGCTTACGAATCAATGCTTCATCAGGAATAGATGTACATGAGTCATACAAATTTCTATGAAGAACTACGTGAAATTCACGTAACGTACAACGTTTCGCTACAAATATTGAATAGGAAAGAATTGGTGCAATAGTATTAGCCTAAAAATGAAGTTCTGAAAAAAAGAAAAAAGAAGCTTATTCAAAAGTTTGGCTTTATTTTTATTTTCATCTAAACATTTAATATCAAGCAAACTGAAAGTTAAACATGGAAAAACATTTAAGAATTAAATTTTTTATTTTTTTAAAACAACTTCATTTTTATTTTTCAAATGGTTATGCAAATTATACTATATGACGAAACATTTACAAAGAATGTTTGTTTTCAATTTTCTAAATAACTTCAATTCGTATCTTTGATTTTTGGGATAATTTCAATTTTTTTTTTTGCAACAAAATATAACTTACATAGAAGCCGACATAAGGAGAATTATCAATTTGTGCTTGAAGTGAGAGTTCACCATAGCTGTAAGCTGTCCAAAGTGGTACATTATCAGGGACAAAAATGGCAAATTTATTGGAACACAACCAATACCGCTCCATTCCAGATGAATTTTTTGCATCATCATAAAAATGACAATATTGAAAAGTGACAAAATTTGACCATAAATTTGAAACTTCTAGAATAAATTAAAAACAAAAAATGTTTCTTAGCAGTGAGGTATAACGAATAGTTGCAAAAATTCTCCGAAATTTTTAAAAATTTCAAACCAGTATTTGATAACTTTTTTGAAAATTTAATACAAACTAAAATAGATAATAGAAGAAAGAAAAGCAAAAAAATATATGTTCAAGTTGACAAAAATCTACAATTACCTTTAGAGTGTCCGCTGCTAAATAAGGTGAAAAATGTTGGAAAGTCCTAGCTAAAGGCCATGTTTGCTGGGCTATCTGAGGTCCACCATACCATTGGCTAATTTCATCCGTTTGTATTACATCTTTCATGTAATGATAACCTTTAACGCTTATCCATTCAATTTCATATTTGTCATATAACTCTTCCGATGTATCATATTTAATTCTTAGTTCAATTCCATTATCAATTTTAATTGTTAATAAGTTATCATTCATAGTATATTCTTTTATTTGTACAGTTTGATCAATAATAGAACAACCAATATTCACTGCTAATGTTCGTTTAAATTCCTGCTTTATTGTAGGAGAAATAGCATTAGCAGTAGCAGCAACAATGGTTGAACTATGGTTATCAATTACATCATCAAATCGATTGATTAAAAGTAAACGTTTTGTAAAATCAACTTGCAAATTGCCAATATGTAATGGCAGGGTGAACATTTTAATCAAATTTTCTAGCAGAAATTTACCTGAAAATAACAATGAGATCATTTCAGAAATTTCAATTTAAACAAAACTTCAACAATTATTAATTTGTAATAAGTACAATTAGTTATTTAGGAAGAATGAAATGTAAAAGAGATTATGAGATACAACGATCCCGATAACTATTTATAATATCTATGTCATCGCTATCAAAACAGACCGACTCTCTGTCTCTCTCTCTCTCGTAAACAGCATGATTTTATTTACAATACAATTGGAAGAAAACACAGATTATAATTAATTATAATGGATTAAATTCAAAACTAGAATTGAAGGAAAAATCTAAACAATAACAATTAATTAAAAAAATGAAATATCAAATAAAAATGTGGAAAAATCTAGAAATTTAGTTAAATTTTCGGACCAACTGACTTAGAAACTCTAAAAAATTCAAAAATTAAAAAATTAAAAAAAAAAAAGATACACAAGCTTAATCTATCAAGCTAACCTGAGCATGTACAATTACATTTGATATTTTTTCATTAATTCATCTTGCCAATTTTAAATTTTGCTTAAATTAACACACTTTTGAAAACTTTTTAAAAAACACAAAATTCAGGAAACAATTTCCTCTCGAAGAGACAGGTAGTTTATATTTCGCTCCCTCACTCTCTTTCATGGACCATCTTTTTTCTTTTTTACTTACAAAGTAATTTTCGCTTTCCGTATGGAGACTGGATCGAGATGGGGAGGGGCGGAAGAGTGGAGAATAGGGGGAGGGGGGGGAGGGTGGTTTGAAAATTAAATTTTGTATGGGGAAATTGTCCATTGCCAATTTGTTCGAGAAAAAAAAGAATACTCCGAAATAGTGAAGACTGATTGATAAACAAAAGAAAGCGAGAGTATAATGAGATTGGAAGTGAAATGATACATTTTTGATAATTGGTGCTCAGTGTGCTGAAGTAAATGAATATTGATTAGTTTTAAGAAGCGCTCCATTATATAAAGGAATTGCTTTATCTGTTCACTTATTTATTCTAATTCTGTAAAATGTAATATTAATTCGTTTTAAAAATAATAGGCACTTGTGGCAAAACATTCATAATATTTCTATTTTTACTTTCGCTAAATTTTATAAAATGTTTGAAGATATGAATAATTCTAATAAAGCATCACATTGCTGTTATTCAAATGTTACTCAGCTTATAAATTATATATCTGTTTTACTGTGCTAAAAGGAATGGATTTTTATAAGCTAAAAACATCATAAACAACATATTTGCATAATTTATACATATATATCGTTCATAAATAAATCCTCCAAATAAACATATATGGACATTAATTGATTGAAACAAAAAAAAAAATTAAATAACAATATCTCAAATCTTGAAGCTTTTTTGTTTCTTATTTGTTTGGCTGACTTTACTTATAACTATCATGGGTCAAACAAATCTTTTTTGTATGAAATATTGGCCTCACGATCTAATTCATAAATTCAAAATTTAACAAATTTTTTTTTAGGTCGTTCATTCTTTTTTGTATGAAAATAACCTCTAATGTATGGAAAATACTAGCGGTCACTATAATAAAAAGGAAAATGAATTAAGTAAATGTGAAGATCATTCAATTGGTAATGATTGTGCTGTACGAGAAGCAAGTGATGTGATATTATTGGTGTCGGATGGTTCAAAAATTGGCAAATACAATCTGACATTATGGTATTTGAAGCATATTAACAGCACAGTTGCAATCGAACCATCAAACAAAGTATTGCTTCGTGAATACTTTCAAATGTCTTACTGATTATTTTTAAGTATTTTCTGTTTGCAAATTTAAACAGTTGGTACTTATACTATTAGTCCACCATTTATGTTAGACCTTATCGCTACGAGTACAATTTAATCTTTTGGTTCTTCCATTTTTTGCTTTATCTCTTTGATCCAGTCAAAAAATGAAGACATAGATATTTGTACTATGTCATCCGAATCATTTCTCGTGAATTACGGTGTAATAAAATGAATCGATATCGCATAGCAACTTTCTTTTTTTTCGAAATTTAAAGATCAATGAAATAAATGAAATTAGTTATGGTTGATTAAATCAAATCGCTTTCATTCATTATGTGGGGAAATTGAGAAATCTAATATCAGTGAATTACATGACGGAATAGCACGATAAATTTTGAAATATATAATAGTTATTTGATTAGAAGGCAGATACAATCACCATAGAAAGAACTTATCTGAACAACCAATGTTTCAAACATAAATAATTTAAAAATTGTTAAATTATTGATTTATATGTTGAGATCATTATATGATTAGGTTAATAAACCTTATTTTTTAAGGATGAGAAGGAAATAAAGATTGTGAAAATCAGCGCCCAAGATGGTGGTGAAGTGCGCGATGATGAGCAGTTATTGGTAACAAGTAATACACTGATATCATATGTTGTCCGAAGTTATTCTTTTGTTTTCGTCATTGATATCAGTCCTTCTACTTTCGTTGTGGTTCGTTTTTCTTTTTCATAGGAGATGTAAGGTGGAAATTTTTGATCATTTTTAAAATCGAATTAAAAACTTAATCTGGTAGCATACTACTAAATTGTGATGTATGCCAAATACACTCCTTTCTGCTTATTTTGAATTGATTTCAGTGGTGACTACTTATTATTACCTGTTGGCAGTATTTTGTCCGATTTCTTTGAGTTTTAGCATCCTTTGACCTTTGTTGATTCCATCCACATCAATCAGATCGATTTCTGCGATAAAAGACTAATATTCACAGAAAAATATAATTCAATTCATTTTGTTCATTTAATTATTGCACATGCATTTAATTATTTTATAGGATGGAACAGCAAGTTATATGCCGCATTCAAAAATTATCAATCGATTACGACAGTGCCTAAAAGGACTTCTTGCGGAAGGAAATTTTCTACCAGCGAACAAATTTTCGCCCGAAATATACATTACGATTTGTTTCTACAGTCCATTTATTGCTTTTGATGAGGATAGAGTCAGTAATTAAAATTTTTTTTCTGAATTAAAAACAGTAAGCAAAAGAAATGGAGAATTTTTGGTTGAAAGGCTGCACATAACTAATAATTAGTAGTTGCGAAAAGTAACCTTTGGCAATTCTTTGAGTTGCTTTAGAATGTAATTTTGGAACTTGCGTGTCGTGTGCTAAACGAAAGACATGACTTCACTATATTATAAGTGTTGTTGGCTTTTTTTATTATTTGATACTGATCAAGGAAACTGTCCAAATCAAATAAAATATGAATATGAATAAAGAAACAGGATGAAAGACAGCATATGGTAATCTCTTGGTGGATAAGATCGATAATTTTGGATAAAAGATTTCATTTGATCGGTGGTTGTTTTTTGAAATCTCTTTTTATTAAAATTAATTTAGCAATTGATGGAAGTTAGTAGTACTTATAGGTTATTCTGCAAGGTTGTTTACTTACGAAGAAGAATATCGATTCTATTCTACATTATGTCCAAGAACGATTTGCATTGTTTTCTAATAGACTATGTTGGACGATGCAGCCACATTTGAGGAAGTGGAATCAAGAGCGAAAGAAGTTGCGGCAGGTAAAGTTAACAAATCCCTGTATGTTTGGATGTTACCTGGATAATCTCGTTCTCATGAAAAATTGAAAAATTTGTGCAAAGCTGACTTTTTTGATTCTGCTATACACCATACTTTTATTTGGTCGTATAGTATTTCCTTATTTGTAACGTTACTTAAGGAATATGTTTAAAAAAAAATTACGGAGAATGTCATCTTTTTCCTCAAATCCTTGAATTTCAAATAATATCTCAAAAAACAAGATGTAAAATGTTTTGCGAATTTTACTTATCAACCAACATGCTGTTGTGAATTATGAGGTACAAATCACAACAATGTATAATTGCAGACAGTTGGAGATCTTCTGCCGGAAAATTTTTTTCGGCAACAGTCTCACGCAACGGATGGATTCAAGGATTCAGTGCTGACTGCACAGTTGGTTTTCCGCTTTTTTTTAAAATAAAAACATTCATGAGTTTTATGCTTTTGGAAATTCATCGTCCAGTATTAAAAATATGTGGAAGATTAGTCCTTTAAAAAATCTTCCAAAATTTTCTTTAAGCTACAGTTCTTACTGAGTGCATTACATTACAATTTTCATGTCTTCTAAAGTTGTCTGATTTCATATGTTTACCTTTACAGGATGACTTTTCGAGCTGGCCCTGCTGATGAAGGATTCATTAATTCTGAATGGTCATTAATGTTCATGTTACGAGTTGGTCTCATCAGTTTCCAGTTACTACCAGACACTTCTCAGCCCAGTAAGACATAAATAATAATAGTATTTGCTTGCGTAACCAACAATGCTTGCAAACACTGTTGGTTGTGTAAGTAAATGAAAGAATGCTTCATGAATTTTGCAGTCTTGTTTAATTTTATAATATTTCAAGAAAAAAACTTCTATGACGAAAGGGGTTGGCATGATTTATTTCATTTTCGAAAGCTTTGCGAAAAATCTAACGTCACTGTTGGTTTCATCTTGTTTTTTGTCGTATGATGGATGTTGGAGTAGAATGAAATCCATTACTATTTAAGTGTCATAATTCCGAAAGTTACATTTCCCAGTTTCTCATTCATCTGCACATTTTTTTCACGTAAAAATTTCTGCAGACATAGTATTGATTACGGATGCAGTGTGTAATGTGACGGATATACATGCTTTACAAAAACTAATGATCCAACTACGAAATTGCTCTATCGCTTGTTCATTTATACAGGTAACGCGGATTTTTTAATGAACATCTTAAAAGAAATGTAAAGTCAGTATTGTTTCCAATTTAAGTTTAGCAATCACATAAACATAAGACATTGCTAAATTTTGAGCTATTAAGTGTCATTTTATAAACTTTTGGTTTAATATACACTGCAAAACTCAAAAAATAGTGCTTTTATACTTATAATGATGGATCATGGCTAAAACCACGATGAAAATTGTGTGGGAAGTGTGTCTTTATTTACTTTTTCTTTCATTAGGTTTGAATTTTATACTTCATTCTTGAATTATTTAGATTCAAGAAGATAACAATACAGATACTGTATTTGGACATTTTTCATCACCCGAATTTTTTACTTTTCTTGCGAGAGGAACATCAGGTGTCTACATACCAGACGAATATCAAGTCACCACGGATGTGAGTTCCGAAATTAAAAAAATTTAACCCGTGCATTAAAATATTTGTGTGCACGAAGGAACAATAGTATTTTCTTTTTTCAGAGTGCTTGTGATCTGATTGAAAATCGACCATTTTTATGCAAAAATCTTCAGCTCTTGGATACAGCAAATGATTATATTAAGAATTTAATTCATCACATTAATCCTGAGTTCGTTGAACCGTACACATGGTATATTTTTCTCTAATCTCTTGAGAAGTTTTCCGTCCTTTCGAATTTCATTTTTTTTAAAATAAAATATATATTTTGGAATTTTATTTTTTGAATATATATTTTCGAATTTCAATTTACTTCCCGTAAATTTTTTCAACTTCTGATGAATTTTTATTTTCATGTTTTCGAATAAATTTTGTCTCTCAAATTTTTTTCTTACTAATGACTTTAGTGGTGTTGTTCGCCGAGTGCATTACAGTATGGAATATGAATCATGTTTGGAGTATTTCTTACGTTTGCGGCTTTATGAGGGTTTTATATTGCGTGATTTGAAAATATTAAAAAAAGAAGAACGATCGATATTAGTGGAACTTAGTTTATTTTGGAAGCCACAAGTGACAATTAGCTACAAAATTTGTGCTGTCTACGGTGAACATACAAAAAGGTTTGTTTTAATGTTGCCGTTTTCCAAATTATTTTATTAGCTTTTTCGACAATTTGTGATAAATATTATTAGCATTTAAGCCAGTTCCAGTTTCAAGTTTTCGAGATTCGTTAGTAATTTTTACTATTTTTCGGGAGTTTTAACTTAAACCAAGCAACAGTTTCTCTAAGATTATATGGAACAATCAATTGAGTATTATAGGGCAAAGTTAAAAATAACGGTGATATGTGAAGCACAATACGGCATGATACGAGATTTGTTGTCCGATCGTTGTTGTATAAATACAACAAAGCAAACTTTTTCTGATGCATATCGAAATACAATTTTCGAGTGAGTTAATCTTTGCTTTTTCTGAAACATGACTTGATTTACAGTAAGCGGTTTGCAGTATAAAAGTTGTATTACAGTGATTTGACAGAACATTAAGAGTGAATATTTACTTGCCTGCATATTTGCTTTGTTTTATTATTACTTTTGCCAGATTGCTTGAAAGGGATCGTATGTTACTTCACGTTCATTCATTCAACTCCTTGCCAGATCTTTTTCATCTTCCGCCCGAAGTTTTAAAAGAAAAGTCTCTCTTCCGCTATGTTATGAAGGAAAACAAAGCCGTATTGACAGTAAGTACCAGGTAATTGTCCCGAGCAGATAACACATTCTTGATAAATTTGACAATAGTTAATTCTCTGAGTCTGCATGTTTTTTTCCCAGGAATTGCCCTATTAAATGCATCGTGTTTTTTAATTGAGGCATAGTGGGCGGAAGCACGTGGTGCATTACAAAAACTTCAAATTTTTTCACTTTTCATACTCATCTCTAGTTATATTTTAATATCAGCGTATTTAACTGATTTTTCGATTTAGATTTCTTCTTTTGCAGAGAATTGGAAACTTTATGTTTGCAAAATGTCGCCGCAGCAAATTTTGTCGAATTTTGGCGGATTATAAGTGAATTTGAAGAGAGACATTGGTAAAAGTATAATTTGTTGGAATAATGAATATTTTTGGGATAGAAGCAAATTAGATGAATTTTAAATAGTTAATGAAACAGGCAGTAGTATGGATTATGAGGTAATAAAACGGTACGTATATGTTCGTCATTTTTTTAGATGACAAAAGAGAAAAAAACAAAAAAAAACAGTTACTTTGCAGCATTGATATAATTAATAAATGAAGACATCTTAAACATGAAACTCAAATGAAGTTACTATGTAATTAATATTGATTCCAAATGAATGAATAAATATGAATCAAATAACTGATTAAATATGACTCGAACTAAGAAACTTTAATAAATGTAGCTCTTACCAAATAGTTTTGTCCTCTTATCTCTTTTTAAGGAATCAGATTTTTGTACTCGTCCTATAACTTTTCATAATTTTCTCTTTTTAGGCAAAGTTGGTCACAAATATACACTTTTCGTATAATTCTTACGCATGATCATCCGTTACCTCCACGATTATTCCTTTTCGAAGAGCCGAGTATAAAAGTTACATCGCAGCTTGCATTAACTGTATTTTATGATGTGCTCGCGCAAATGGCTACATTTTCACTTGTTCATGGACAAACTTATGTAAAATTTGTTGAAGGGTTTGTTTTTGATGTTTTATCATTTAAATATTTTCTCTACTTATGTTGCTAATAAAACCATCCGATTAGTTAAACCAACGGGCTTGATAACTGAGTTGTAGATCTCTTTGCCAGGCTTCAAAAAATATACTGATATTTTCCGATTTTAATTTCTTATATACTCGAGTGACATTTATCTTACAAAAATGGTGTATTGAGAAGAGTCTTCTCTATAATCAGTGAGTAACATAATAAACTATGTAGATAATGACTGTGTTTTTTACCTTTATAAATTCTCATCTATAACTCCATTTATTCCGTTATCGTTCCGTTTTGATTTCTCCAGTTTCAATTTCATGTATTTTCTATAAAGAACTTGAACTTTTTCTTCCGAGTTATGTGATACTTTTTTTGCTTTCAGTGATGATGGTGGCGATACTCCGAAATCATTTTATATTGTAAAACTAAGTTTGGAGACTCAGTTAGCCATAATTAAAATAGTATTCCTTGATGGCATCACGACTGCGTTTAGAGACCAGGTGATAAAAAATTTTCATTTTTTAATATTTTAAAATAATACTTACTGTTGTTGGTATTGTTATTCATAACGATGCTAACATTAAGTCAGAAAAAACATTTTCGTTGTAAAATCCAAAATAGATTTTAGTGCATAATCATATGATTAATGGAGCAAATTGTTCTTACGTCAAAGTCTCATAAACTTTTCGTAATATCAGTTTTTTGAAATGATGTAGAATAGCAAATGTTCTATTTTGATTGACATGAAGTCTTTGTTATAATAGCACTTTTTTACTCCCATGTATTTACTTCTGCTTATTATTTTAAAAGGAATTTGCTTATTCCAGGTGATCAGAGAATTCCGAGAAAAATTCAGTTCATTATCTATTGAACAGAGTTGCTTTTTTACTAAAATGCTTGAGTTTGCTGATGTTGGAGACGACTGTGTCACAGTTGCTGAAACAATGGTAAATATTCATTTTGAAAATAATCGTAATAATATGTAAGAAACTGGTCGCAATTTATCACTTCTAGCGATTGCCGGCACTGACTGTTATTAATCGTCCATTGGAAATTATGCTTGCACGCTATAAGAAAATTCCACTTGCATTAAATCGAATTATACGATTGGAAAAAACCGATGGAACAAATCGTAACTTGATACTGCACAATTCACTTGCCAAATATTTTTGTTGCAGGTAATGATAGAAAAGCTTAGTCATGACCAAATATTTATCTGGTTTTGAAAAATTCTAAATTCATTTTGTTTGTAGATATAAAAAACACTGCTGAGGTCATTTCATCGAACGAACTACAGTGTTGTTAAATCCAGTTGAGGGATGGATTTTAATGGAATTAATTTATTCAATTTTCAATTTTTTTCCAAATTTTTTTAAAATGGAAGATTTTTAGACGTTATATTTGGTATTTGAAGAAAGCATTTCCGTTATCGTCAGCTGTGAGTTGCACTTATGCAGATTATATTCTTCATACTATTCTGCAGTGAGCAATTTTTTTCATCCTTACTGGAGCTAAAAATGAGAATTAGTTGTTACGGGAATTAATTAAAGTGTGGGAAGGCGGAAATCTTCGTAATGTGGTTTAATCTGAGCGATGAAATGCTGCTGTTAACTACTGTTAGTTGCTAAAAATTTTTTAATAACATGCAAAATATGAAAAATTTAGGAGACGTCTGAATGAAGGATTTCATATAGTATATGGCGATAATGGGATAGTTAATCTTGTCAAACATATCGATAGTATGGAACAACAGCTGCACTGTGGGCCAGCTTTGCTTCAATATATCATCTTTCCACCAACAGCTATTCGACCAATGCGGATTATGAAAGAACATTTAGAAAAAGAGCCACCTTTATCAAAGTAATTTTTTGGCGAGTTTAAAATGATCTGCAAAATCTAGCATATAATACTTAATCATTGTATGATAGTGGCAATGATATCGAAGTGATATTTTTTTCAGACTTTCACACAGACTGAGAATATACTTTTATTTATTGGCAAAGAAACTCAGCTTAATCCACCGTTAAATCTAATGGTGCTGATGTATGAGTGACCGAACTTTTCTAGGGTATATACAATATATATCAAGAAGCTTGAGTAAGAGTGATTTTGATAACCTTTGATTGAAATCTGCTGTAAAGTCATTTTTATTTAATTTTGCTCAGTGTTACACTTTGCAGAATCAGATTACGTGGAGCTGAAGCAAAGAAATCAGTTCTAAGTGAGAATTCCACATTGAAAGGTGATCTGGATTTACAGTTAATGACGGAAATGTGGTCAGAATCACTTAGCGTCATTGATCCGCAGTATGTTACATGGAATGGAACTATTCAGCAACAAGTAAGCATTTCAAATAATTTCTTAAGCACTTTTTATACACCTAAACATATTGTGTATTTGACTCTTTAATGCTAAAATAACGGTTTAAAAACTTTGAAGTATCATTTTTTCTTCATGTAGGACTCTTTCCAATGAAATATGTACAGAAAATATTTCCCGAATAAATAGTTCTCCGTTAATACCAGCGAAAAATATTCTAAATATTTGAAAAACATTTGTCTAGTTAAAAGCGAATCTTTTTGTTGCGGTAAAAATGTATGCCATGAATGCTTCTTTATATGCTTTAATCATTAAATTACTCATTTGTGTTTTTTTCTGGATCACTATGAGCAATAATAGTTATATGTGCACTACTTCGTATATAGAAAGCGGACTGAGTTTAGGAGTATATATTTTATGATAGATCAAAACAGGAAAAAAATTTATCTGACTCCTTTTTTTCCAAGTAACTATGAAATATCGAGATTAGTTATCAAAAAAAAAAAATGGCAAAGCTGATTTTTTATGCTAGATGAGTAATAAATACGCTTTTTTCATTTTGGTGGTCTGTACTTTATGCTTAGTCATTGCAATATTTTTATTTCGTCCTCTTAACGTTAAACGTTGGAAAATTTTTCAGAAAACATTTCTTCCAGCATTTATAATTTAATGACACTCTCCCGTTTGCTAATATTATAATACCATCACCACAATCAGCTCGTCAGATTTCCAAACGTTGAAAAATCTTTTCTTCACTGTTTCTGACAATTCATTGTTGGTAATTTAGGACGTCTTCTCAAATCGGTTCATTTTCATTCTTTCCTTTTCTTATCGGACGTTAGCGTACTTCGGTATTTATCTCTCTCACCTAAGAAGTACTTTTAAGAAAAGCGATAATTAGGCAGCATATTTTGAAGATGTGCACTGTACGAATGAAAGGAACATTGCTGATAAACTATTCTCTATGCTATTTTTTTGTTATCTGCTGACAGTGCTGATAAGCGTAGGTAGCTGGCTGAAGCTGATTTTTATTTTACATTCATACAGAGTGAACATCTTTCCTCGTCTTAGCGTCCACTGTCTTCCTTCGTCGGTTCCACGACAGACGAGTTTGTGTCAGTTAAAGGTTTGGTCTTAGGCAGAGCTAATGCTTTTATCACGATACTGCCAGATCTATCCTTTGGCTGACATCGGCTTATTTGATTGATATTTCAAATCCATTGTATTTTCCATGGAAATGTGGAGACTATTGCTTGGATACCTTTATCATTCTATTTTGTAAAAATTAAATCTGCCATTATTGTTTGCTCTTGAAACAAAACTGCTTAACCGATAATTTTCGAAAACATAAAGTGGAAGCGACATGACAGTTCTGTAAAGCTGTTCTGAATTTCAGCTTTTGAATTTTATTCGACTCGTAGTACTTGAGTATAAGTTATTTTGGACGGTCACGAAAGTAGAGGGTAGGATCTGCACTGAACATTCAAGTCAGTGAGATTCTTATTCCTCCACTTACTTGCCTGTTCCCTATCAGCATTTCATACCATATCATTTATAACTTTGAGGTTTTTTTTTCACTGAAAGATATTCTTATGAAAAGTCCTTTATCTTTGCCATAGTATGCTTCATTTATATAACATATCTCGCCTTCCTAATCAAATTCTTAGTTGAAATTAGAGTTTAAATCAGTTGAAATGAAATTTGAAATCTAGGTTTTAATATTAGCTTGGCCAAAATTAATTGCGCATTCGGACAAATCTTGATTAATCACTACAGAAACTGTGACGTCATTATATTTTTGTCGTTGAGAAATGTTTTTTTTATTTGCTATATCATAGAAATATCGAGATTCAAGTATTGGAAGCATACTCTTTATGCTACTGACTGATAGGGAAGATTGTAAATTTGTTTGTAAGGTGGCAAGAAGCTCAGGTCTTCTGAAGCATCGCATATCTTATGAAATTTATCAGCGCAGGTTTCCGAAGCAAGTTAACCCATTATATTGAAAAGCGTCCTCAGCAGTTTGATAAAATGTAGCAAAAATTGCAACAGCAGATCCAGCACTGTTTAACAAAAAATACTGTCCATTTTCAACGTCAGGCTAAATGTCAGTGCTTCAGAAGTTAAATGCTCCAAGCTTCATCCAATCACTGAGATATCATAGCTAGTTATCTCTGTTTTTTTGTTGCACACACAGTTTGAGCAGACAGTTGTACGTCATTGTTGTTGCATAGAATAAAAGAGGATCGTACTTCAAAACAACGACTTTGAATATGATTAGCAAATGTGGCACCCATTCACTGGTTTTTTTTTCACCTCTCTAATTTGCTTCAAATACGAAACAGTCGCAACACGAATAACATTGCTTTATGTATTAGAATGATGCTCAGTGTCACCATATCAGTGTAATAATGTATCCCAATATGAAACAGGTTGAAATTATTTCAAATCCACAACTGTTTTTGTGCCAGACTATATAATAATAATCTTTTTTTGTAGTATATTCTTTTTAATATTGGACAGAATCTTTGAAGCAAAGAAAGAAATCAAGGCCGACAAATCAATTGTCTACAAATTTTTGGATAATATGAACCAAAGTTCATACAAATTAACGGCATTGGAGGATATCTTGAAAAAAGAGATTAAAAAAAATAAAAAATGAGAATATTAGCTAAAAATTTAGTGGTGTGAGATTGAAAATATTGCAGTCGAGAGAGTAGTTTGAAAAAGGATAAAACATAAAGAAAATATAATCATCCTGCATTGATACTCATTTTGAAATACTCGATAGTCATAAAAAGATGCATTGGAAATATTTTTTGAAGAGAAAAATTTTTCAAAATTCACATAGTCAGAAACATTTTCAATAAAATTGTAATTGTCGTATTAGTTAATAATGTCAGAAAATCCGATGCTTATCAAAGAACACTCAATTTTGGCGCTACACCTTCAAAGCTGATATATTTTTATTGAAGAATGATACGGCTCGATCAGCCTGGGGAAGCATATCATTGGTCCGATTGATAAATAGAAACTAAATTTATACTGCTTGCATAGTAAATGTTTATCGAAGCCTGTGCATTTTATGT